CTCAGGCAGGCTCACTTGGGCTCACCCAGCTCCATGAACAATGCTGTAGCTGGAGGAAAGTGCCAAGTATCCCAGAAAATTTGCTCCATGCTATTCCTTTCATGTCAGTGCTAGGCAAAATTTATTTCTTTGTTTTCTTCAGTGCTGCTTGGGGATATTTACTCTTTACTAGGCTCACATTGCTGGTCAGGAAAAGGACTTCCCAGGCAGCAGGAATTTGGTGTCCAACAGTTTCTTATCTGCAACTCTAGTCCAGCTTGTATTAATAAAGGTTGAAGATTATTTAGGACTTCCAGTCTGCTGGCCAGTTGCAGAGGGGACGGGAAATTCAGGATGGACTTAAACTCACAGTAAAACATAACACATATGCAACTATATGTGATTTAACAGATATTTTCATATATATTGTGCTGCAATGTATATGTGGCCCTGTTTACTTACGTTCTCCTTTACCAGTTTGTGTAAACAGATCCCAGCTATTCGACTGCTTTTGCTCATATTCTCAGTGTTTTCCCAAATTTATCCTGGAAATACAGAGAAAATAAACACTTTGTAATGATGTTTCTGGCAGCAGCCTTCGCCCATTTGCTGGTGTGAAGCTCCTGCAGACTCTGTCACTTGACATTTGACACTCCCCTCTCAGAAGCACCAGCGGAGGCTTGGGTGCCTGGGAGCACAGTGGTACGGGGGCCAAGGCAAACAACTGAGCAAATTCCCCAGGAAAAGCTGTTCCCAGCAAGCCTGCAGGCAACTGTGACTTGATCCTGCATGGCTGAGGGGGAGAATTGGCATCCCCCTCCCACCCTGTGCATTCACTTTCACCTACAGTAACCAATACCTCAGCCGAGCGCTGCGGCTGCAGAGTCCCTGTGCTGACACTGGGCCATGCCCATGAGAGCTGCACTGCTCCCCATCAGGCTGCTCCCACCTGCTGCCCACCAACCCCAGGAAAAGATACGTGCCCAGTGAGTCTCCAGAGCAGGGAGCAGCTCCTGGGGGCTCTCCCACAGCTCAGCAGCTGAAGGTCAGGGTGGGCTCTTGGCTTGCAGAATCAGTAGTTTGATTAGAGCAAACAGGACTGAAAAGATGTTCAGGATGTCTTCTGCGGCATTCCTACTCCAAAGTAATCACTGCATACTAGGCGCTGCTGATGCATTTCTGCTCAAACTTTCCCAAAAAATTCTCAAGGGATAATCTTGCAGCCTTACTAGGCTTAATTATTGTTATTAAGGATACTCCTTGGCCAACCTTAGCCTGCTGCAGTACTCATCCATTAGTCTTTGTCTCAGACAGAGTCCAGACCATTCCCTTCCACTGTACAGCAGTATTCTGGACTGTTGCAGGTTCTTATGCTGTCCCTCTCCCGCAGCAGCTGTGAGCTGTTTGCAATGCCTGGGGACTTGTTTACCTCCCTGCAGACCCCAGTGACTGCATTCCTCCTGTGATATGGTTTCAAAGTCCTTGGAGCAATGCCTACCTCCCCAGCCTACTCCCTGCATCTTCCCCTTGAACAGGACTCCCTGCGCACCCACCAGCCTCCCCCCTTGGTCCCTTACAGCTGCCACCCAGCCTGGCTCTACATGGCATGGAGGGAGCCCAGTGAGGAAGAAGACAGAAAAACCTGGGGTAGACTTTCTCCCCTGAGCTCCTTGTACTGTCCTTTCCACGTGCTCCCATGGCAGCTGTGCAGCAGACCCCTGACTGAAGGGCTGTTCCCAAGAATCCCTCTCCCCTGTCCTCCCTCAGCTCAGTTACACGGTCCCAGCTCTCATGCTCGTTATGCAGGGATCAGGTTTCCAGACTGCGACAGGTTTTGTTGCTTTTTGTTGGACTCCATCCAGCCAGGCCATATCCTGCTGGAAGTTCAGTGCCCTCAGCTGAGCAGAGTAGCCCCGCTGGGGGCTCACACTTGCTGAGAAGAAAACTCACTTCATTTGTCTCATAGGCTGTAATTTGGTTCACATTTCTCAGCATGGAGATGACCTGACACCGCTGACTCACGCATTGCCTTTAATCCTTTATCACCCCCAGACCCTCTCTGCAGAGTGATGTCAATGCAGGTGTTTTTCTTCATGCAGCTTCTTATTTCTGCAGAAGGTGGGAGCTCACCCTTGTCCCTAGAACAGAAGCACATCCTATTTTTCTCAAACTATTTCTCCAATTTGACAAGACCATTTGTCAAGTTCAAGCTGCGTCATACAAAGTACTTGTAGCCTATTCAAGCTTGCTGTGACCAGCAAAGTTAATAAGCTTGATATTTTAGAGACCACCATTAATAATGACCTGGCCTGGCATTTCCCTGCTAGTGAATTTCTTCCCAGAGGCCACCTTGCTCATTCTTCATGAAGCTTCTCTGTGGAAATTGGATTTGTACAGTCAAGAGAGAGGAGGAAACAAAACTAAACTCAGATTATTACTCGTTCCCCATCTTAGGGGAAAAAAGGTAATACATAATGCATGTCATCTGCTTCACTTAGCAGTCAGAGCCAGCAGCAAGTCACAAATGTGTGTCCTTTTGCTGTGGGCGTGTCACACAGCCACCAAATCAAGATCACCTCCTATGTGCCAGTGTGTCCCAGAGAGGAGCTGAAAGATGGAAGAGGACAGTGCATGCAGTGGCTGGGGCAAAGATAATCAATGAGCCTGGGGGGCCACCAAGGCAGGACACTGCTGAAGGCAGGGTGAGAAGGCAAAAGCCATGGGACCACAAACAGGGCTGTAAAACGAGCAAAGCTCTCTGGCGGCACCTTTGCTTGGCCAACTGAGGATGCAACTTATGACCAGTCTGTCTGTTTCTCCTCAAAAGAGCTGCCCAGCTCTCCCAGCTCCTCAGCAATCACTGCCAGTTTTCCTGTCCCACTGCTGCCCTGATCAATGGCTGTTCCCACTCTGACAGCTACAAAGGTGACACAGGAACAGACAGCAGCAGTGACCACAGAGGCTGTATTACCCTATGGTGCTGCAGTGTAAATTCTCTCATTTCCAACACAGGAGTTCCCCAGTGACTGCTCTTTGCATAGGCTCAAGGTGAACTGTAGGTGTGCAAACCTTCTCCTGGGTCTGTTCCTGTGTGCTCAGGAAAATGGAGCTCAGCAGCACAGCCTTGGCCCAGCTGAGCCCATGGAGGCTCCTGGGCTAACAAAGGGATTGCTCCTCCTTGGATATACCACGGGATTTGCAATGACAGTAGAGAACCTCTCTTCTTTTCCATGATCTACCTTCTGCCCTTGTACTTTCAATATCCTGTCTCACACGGAGAATTCATTTGTGATTGAGGTAGTTTTTTTATGAGGCATTCTGGGCTTTTTTCTTCCATTCAGTTTGCAATCAGCAAATGGGCCCTTGGAGTTTAACAGCTACAAGAATATCTGAAACTCAGGTTTTAGGTTGGAGGGATGTTATTAAAGAAGAATTTTGAGACTTTGAAGACAAGAGTAATGGGGATTTAACTATTCAAATGTCCAAAGCTCATAGACAGCACAGAAAATATCAGAAGGAAGTGCAAAGGAAAAGCTCAAAAGGATAAATCTGTGTGGTTTAGGAAAGAGAAGGGATGAGATAATGTCTGGAAATTGATTAAAGTAGAGAAGTGACTGTGTAGACTGTAAGGAAGAGAATAAATCAAGCAAGAAATGTGTTCAGAATTAACTCAGAGGACAAGCCCAGAGAAGAATTTTGCTGTCACAGTGTGGCAGCAACATTGCCATATATCTAGTTTTACACCAGTTCAGTCCCAAACAATATCTCAGCAGGCATGGCTTTTTCACAGAACCTGAGCACCCTGCTCAAAGGAGGGACAACTTAAAAGAAAGATAAAGATTCTGAAGGTCATATCCAGTCAACTTCTGAATATTATTTTTCCCACAAAAAAATATTTTGTCAAATTTGTTTATTTTTACTCTTCAAAGTGAGCAAGAGCTGGAAGCAGTACATCATGCCAGGATGGCTATGGCTTTGCTTGGAATGTAATACCAACAAAACTTTGCCAGTGATAACGTTCCCAGGACTCACCACCTGGAAGGAATTTCTTGGCAGATTTCATACACAAAGAGAAGCATTTAATTCTCAGTTAATTTTAATTCACTTTTGCACACCGTCCTAGTAATTTCTCCAGGCAGGATGCCCATCTCTCTCGGTATCTTAGGGCTGAGACAATGCTGTGGGTGTCTGTTGCCAGGTCCTCAGGAGTGCTCAGAGTAGCTCCTGGCTCTCTATTCCCCTTGCCCACTGAAAAACCACAGATACAGACCCTGCACAGACAGGACCAGGAAACACAAGTAATTAACTTTTACTTGGGAAAGGGTAAAAGAAAATTGTCAGTGTTACACCATAAGGTAAAGTGAGGCCGCAGGAGACAGTGAGTGCTAATATTGCAGCCAGATGGAAAAAATAGAAGTAACATATCTGGTGGTAGATTGCACGTGAAAACATGGCAGACAAAAAGCACTTTGAGAAACAAATGGCAAAGGCAATAAATGCTATTAATGCTTCTTCATATCAAAGATTCAGGACCTTGTCAGAAAATCTGTAGGGCCAGCTGATATTATAAAAGATCACAGCAGATATGGCCATTTAAAAATTATTTATTTGCTCACTGCTCCTAGTGGAAGAAACTGTGTTCAAATGGCTCCAGCCATTCTGGGGGTTAGGGTTCTTAAGAAGGATTAGGTAGAAATCAAAATTACTTCAGAAGAGAGATTTAAAAAGTCACAGAGTGAATAGCAATGAATGACTGATAATAAGTACTCAGGAGGTCTGTGTCTCTAAACTGGAAGAGCTAAGATCATAGCAGTGATGGATGTGTTATTTAAAATTACTGGAAAGTGAAACAGGAGCAAACATGAGGTCAATTTTAAAACTTTGCTCCAAAGGTGATGGGAGTAACTATATGCCTCTTATTCCAGCTTAGAGACTACAATGGGATCTGGCAATCTGTGCTGCATCTATGTGCTGTGGCAAAGTCTTTGTTGGGAAACCTCCAGGGTGGCTTCTGTGAGAAGATGCCAGTGGCTGCACCCATGTCAGACAGAGCCAATGCCAGCCAGGCCCAGGACATATTCACCAAAGCTGAGCCCATCAGCGATGCTGGTGGCACTTCTCTAAAACATATTTAAGGACGGGTAAAAATCCTGCACAGCAGCTGGAGAGAGGAGTAAGAATATGTGAGAGAAACAGCCCTGCTGACACTGGGGTCAGTGCAGAGGAGGAGCAGGAGGTGCTTCAGACCCTGCAGCTGAGATTCCCCTGCAGCCTGAGGCGCAGCCCATGGTGAAGCAGCTGTGCACCTGCAACCCATGGAAGACCACAGGGAGCAGAGACCTTTTGAGACACTGCATCTGTTTTTAAACTGACATGACAGCGGCAGGAGTACAGTGTCAGTCAGCTTCAAAGGCCGACTGATGCCCTTGGCAGCACTGAAGAATTCTTGATACTAGGTCTTTTATCAAAGAACTATCTTTACTTTATAGATGTGGGAAGAGTTTAACTGGTTTTATCTCAAATGACATTACAAAGGCCATTTGAAGAATGTTTTCAGCCCACACAGAATGTAAAGTGGCTGTTCCTCATCACCATCTAAGAATGTTTATGTTGTTAGAGAAGGTCAGCTGAAAATACAGCTTCTGAAGAGCCCCATCATCTTATAAATGGGCAGGAAATGAAAAAATACCTTCTGCCCTAGGGAAGGGGAAATTCACCCAACCTGCACTTAGGTATCTACAATGTAAATGTGTATATGCAATGTCAATGAGGCTACTGCAAGCACTTCATTCTTTAATCTTGATTATTTGGCTGCATGATTACCTATTACTGTCCTGCTGATTCCTGATTCTTTTGAGTGCCTGCCCTGTTTTCAAATATTTTGTCTTCTTTGTAACTCTGTTCTTTTTTGTCATAGGGTGGAGGACTTAAATTGTCAAAAAACAAAAATTTCCTTTTGGATTATATGCTTGCAAAATTACAGAACTAATCTTCACTCTGCATTGGCCATCATGTCTTCTGTTGCTGAGCCTAACACTATCATGGCCTTCCAATAGCTTGATTAAAAGAAGAAAGGACATGTCACATATGACCCTACCACCAGCTGCCATAGCTTACCAGCAGAGAAGTTGCCAGACTCTCTGAGTTCAAACTCCAGCTTTCCAAAGTCACATAATTAAAAACCCACCCATCCTAGGCTTGCAAGCTGGTACTTCTCCTGCCTGACTAGAAACCTGCAGGTTAACTGAGAAAGAAGCAGTGGGTGAAGAGCAAGAGTTTCCCCAGATGATAAATTGTTAATTCACTGGATGCTCAGGGAAGTTCAGTGCATCAGCAGGTCTACCCAAAAGTACTCATTGGCCCTGCACTCCAGCAGCACAAATTCAGCTGCTGATACTGATACCATCATTTTCATTTCAGTCCATTCCTTACTCCTAGTGCTGGGAAAGTTTTATGTAGGGAAAGGGGTGAGAGAGGAGGGGAGGGGAAGTTCTTTGACCCACGAAGATTCATCACTCTGGAAGAGTTAAAAATTAATGAGAGACAGGAGAGGGAAACATAGAACTGAGATTAGTTCCTTGTTTATTTTCTTGCTCCCCACCATGAAGTTATAGAAATGCACCCAGTGTTCACTTGCTCCCACAGGCACTTAATTACTCGTATGAATAGTTTTCACTGCTTCCTGCTGCAATATTCCAGAAACACCGACCCAGTGTTACTGTCTCTGCCACCTCCTCCCCACACAGCCAAAAGGAACAACAAAAAATCAACTTAGCAGGGTCTTTTTGCAACCAGGATCTCCCTTCTGCCACCTGCAGTGTCAGGACTGTTGGGGCTGGAGCTCAGACTGTTTGAGAGGAAACAGGAGAAGGTGTGTGAAAGCAGAAGACAGAGAAAACAGGTTCTGTCAATAAGAGGGACTCAAATATAGAAAGATTTAGCTCTGTGAATATAACTACAAACTGTAAAACATTTCTATAAAACTCAGTCATCTTGGAGGTACCTTCTACACCTAGCTCCTCCTCACTGATTTCTTTAAGAATCCTGTACAGTTGTAGGTATCTCTGACACTGCTCAACCCTAACTTTCCATATATCCCAAAAGCCTTATCATGTAGTCAATATGGTTAATGGAGTGGGCTGATAATATCACTTATTCACTGCTCTTGCTTGTGCTTGCAATCACTCTTATGAAGAAATCCAGTCAACACCTCAAGCTTAGAAGTGGCAAAATATCCATGAGCTACCCATTCTCCTGAGCAGGACCCTGATCACACAGCCCTTCATTTGTGGTTTGTTTTTTTTTCTTCTTTCTGACATGCTCCTGCTTTCTAAGATACAGCGACACAGTAAGACATCTTTGACTTCACTAAATGCTGTCAGTACCTGAAGGCTTTTACCCAAGGGGTAACATCAGAGGGTTTCAGCTGAAAACAACATTTCCCCTTCACCTGCATAAGCGGCTCTTACAAAAATGGGCCATTCCATTCTTCAGTAATCGAAGCCTGGAATAACTTTCCTTCCTTTGCATCCTCAAGTTTTCAGAGCCCTGCAAGTCCCCCACCCAGTGCACACCAGGAGGCCTCCCCAGAGAGGGCAGGCAGGCAGCAGGAGCAGAACACAGCAACAAGGAGCGCTCCCAGGGAGCTTTTGACACTTCCCAGGACTCCCACCCACACTCCTGGCTAATAAATTCCCCTGTGCCAACCCCTCCATGCAGAGGGGCACCGAGCTGAGCCGGTTGCCTGCAATGCAGCTGCTCATCCCAGCCATCCCTTGCCTGCTGGGCTCCTGCTGCCTCCAGTGCCAAAGGGAGGTCCCTGGGGCTTGTGGGGGCACAAGCCATTCTGCCCCAGAGGCTACACAAAGGGATTTGAATTGAAAGCAAGCTTTGACTTCTTCTTCAGCATGGGGAACAAAACCTGCTGTGAGGCAATGTTATTTTGTTCTGATTGTGGCACAGCTGGCCACAGCACCTCGCCCCATCACAGCAGTTTGTGTTGTATCTGCAGCGTGCAGGCTTCTCAGCGAGAAATTTCTAGTGCAGAGTATCTCTCCAGGCTCCCTGCCAGTAGGTGATTTCTTAGCAGAGCGTTCTTTTAGGTAAGAAAATTCCTGAGGTTGGTACAGCAGAGCCTGTTCCCAGGGGCAAGTCCCTCCTGCCAGCACCCCAGCTCTGGGTATCACAGCACATGGTGAGAGGGTGGGCAGGGCCAGGACAGCAGCCACCAAGTATTCCTGTTTCCAGAGTGCCTGCTCCACTGCTTGGAGAGAAACAGAGGTGGGCAACAACAAAATGTGCTTACTGAGAAATGTCATGGAGCTGCCTCACAGCCCTGCTCAGCTGCACCAGTGTTCTTGCTCTGTCCACAAAGCCTCCTGCCATCCCTCATCATGGATGATGAAAGGGTGACCTCTCCCTTTTTCTTCCCCTCTTCCAAGGTCCAGCCCTTGCAGGGATTTTGGCTGTTTGGTGATGACACAGCTCTGAACGGCATCTGCCTTCACAGTCATCGAGTCCTCCGTGGGGTGGTGAGCAGCCTTCGCTCTCTCCTCTTCCTCAGGGCAGCAGCTTCTGGGGAGCTTGAAGGGAAACCAGTGCAATGGTTCCTCCATAGGCAGCCACAACCCCCTGAAGGTGGCTCAATGCCCCACTTGAGGAGGTGGGTGAGTTGCCCTTGGCCACAAAGTGTGAAGGGTAAAGGTCTGGTCTCAGGGAAGGGAACAGTGCTTTGGAAAAGAAGAAAAAAATCAGAAATTATGGATCTTAAAGCTACACTTTCTTCTTTTCTTCAAATGCTGACTTTGGAAAGTACATTGAGTAACAGGGACATAGCAAGCACCTGAAATTGCCAAGGGTTCTCCAGGAACAGGGCAGACTGGAGCTGGTGGTGGCTGGGCTTCCAGGGGAAGATGGAGAAGGAGAGTGAAACAAATGCTCCTAGAAACCTGCCATCCCCGTGTACGTCCCTTGCCCCAGGACTGCCAGGTTGTAATGCTGATTGCAGCACAACAGAGGCTGGACAAGCCTTGGTAAGTTGTTTTATCTTCTGGCAGGTGGGGGAACTGGACCGAGGCCCAGCTCTGCTCCAGCAACAAGCTGGTGTCGTTCTCGCTGTGTGTGGAAAGGTGGCAGTCAACAACCTGAGGATCACCTGCTCCAATGGGACCAACCTGGAGGGCTGGGGATTTTCAGGGGGTCACTTCGGCCCATGGAGCAGCAACTGCACCTCTGGGGCCATCTGTGGACTCCAAACAAAGGTGGAGAAACACCAGAGAAAGTGGGATGACACAGCTCTCAATGACATAAGAGTGTTCTGCTGTGAGTAAGCCTGACTCCCCACCCTATATCAGCATCTACAAAGCTGCACAGTATTCAACCTTGAATCTGTCCTTGCACAAAGAGAAGAGTACAGTTTTTTTCTGTCTTATTTTGTCAGGGGTAGCCAGGTCCCATGGCTACAGCACTTCATAAGAAGGGTCTTTGTAATTATTGTGATTAAGCTTTGTAACAAATTCATAACTTACAACATTCCTGTGAGTGAGCACAGGGGATTCCCACACCTGTTGGTAAGGCAGGAGGTGGGACTATAAGGGCTGAACATTTAATTAGAAGTATCATCTTCCCTGGCAGAAACTGTGGTTTCAAAGGAGGGGAACGGGAGCTTTTCATCCTATTTCCATTATAATGCTTAGGGTATGCAGGGATCACTATTAGATATCCATCCATCCATCCATCCATCCATCCATCCATCCATCCATCCATCCATCACAAGTAAGTTCAAATTTACCATGCAGCATGTGGTCCCAGCTCCATGCCTCTCCTCGCAGCCTCCTCAGCACATCTCCAGGTGCCCTGTGCAGAAGAGGCACTGTGAGGATTTTTGTTTCAAAGACTGCAGTAGTTCACATGTATTGCAATCAGAAATGTACCATTGCACAGGTATTTTTCCTGAACCCACCACCATCTCCTTCAGCATCCAAACCTCCTGCTCAGCTCTTCTCTGGAGTTCATATTTTGTGCTGCTTCCTGGGGCTGTAGGCAACACCTTGAGTGTGAGGACATGACAAGTATGGGGCAGGGATTAGCCACAAACTCGGGTCTCCCAGAGCATTATGCAGGAACTGGTTGGTTGGGGAGCATTATGAGCAGAAAGGACTCAAGGAGCAAAGGAACAAACAGCGACAATTAGGAGAGTTCCAGAGAGAATTGCAAATATTTCAACAAACACTTTCCTCAGTCCCAGGAGTGCGAAGAGGAGGCAGAAATCTGAGAAAGACATAGGAGGGAAGGAGAATATCCTCAGCTCTGTAAAGCTCATAGACTTTGCCCATATCATGTATTTGAAATTTGTTTGCTACATTATTCTCTCTGATAAGTAAGTCTCGCTTAGGAAGATGGTGAATGCTTCTCAGTACCACCTGCGAGCTGAGAGTTAATCCCTGCTGGCAACCCAGATGTCCCAGAGGTTTCTGAAGCATTAACTGTGCCATTGTGTGCCCTTATGCATCCAAAGGGACTGCTTGCCACTTGGCATGCAGCCAGTAAAAGCCTTACAAAAAGTACATTTACAAGCACATTTAACCATTTCTGCCAAGTTTTTGAAAACAGGGGTTTGAAAGTCCAAGCATTTATATTCTTATTGCCAGTTTGGTCAGTTTCCACATGGTTTTCTTATTCCATACCTAACTGGTAAGCCCCACAGAGCCATCTATTATATCCTGATACCAGATTTAAAATCAAAAGAGAAACACTGAATACGTGATCTGACAAGGTCACACATCCTCATGGATGATTTCCAATTTTAAGAGATAAAGGCACTCCAGAGACAGCTCAATTTTTACAGGAATCTCCCTCTACAATTGGATATAATGGGAAAATGCATAACTCAGCTTTTCTTCTGGAAAAAAGGTTCCCCTAGGGCACTTTGAAATATTCTAAGACAAAAAGATGGGATTCTTGTCATAAATGTCTCAAGGGTTTTTTTGTTATCTCTGCATTATTATATCACTTTCATATTACTCATTATTCATTCACTTAAGCAAGTTGCTGTACACAGCACTTTAATGGCATTAAACATGAAGGAGTTTCTGTCAACAGGGAGGTTTCTGCAAGAAAAGTACTCTTCAAAGTCATTTCATGATCTTCCCACTCAGGCCTTAGCCCTCCCCATCTTAAAAAAAACATTTGATTGGGCTGAATCCAAATTCCCTGGCAGATCCTCTTGAATAACAAATATCCCATTTCCCAGGCAGAAGATATCTAACAGTGAAATGCTGCAGGATATATCCCTGTCCATTACTCCCTCAAATTCATTATTCGACTAATACCAGATTTTCTTCTGTGTATGTCACTACTCTACAGCAGTGAGGGTCAGGGTTTGTCACAGTCCACCCCAAAGTGGCAAGGCTCATGTCAAGCACTCACTTCCTGTGCACTCACACCAGCATGTGACCATTCTTCCTTCAGGAAAACCTGAATGGAATACCAGATGGAAATCCAAGGCTCTTCCATAATCATCCTGCTTCTTGTGCAATTACTCACCCTGATGCACCATCTTACATCCCTCCCTACATACATGTTTTGCCTTTAGGCATCTGAGGTGAAAAATAGCCAGCAGCACCCACATTTCTTCCTCACACTGGGCAGAGCATGCACAGTGCTCAAAATTGGATGTAAAGATATTCGCAGCCACACTTCCTCAAAAGACACGGGTGATGTGCAGCAACAGCTGTTAATGAAGCAACACCAGCTATTCACATGTGGATGGGTTTGAGCATCTGGGGGGTGGGGACTTGCAATAAAATATCTCCCAGGGCTCACCTTGTACGCATTTTGTTGGGTAAGGGGAGGGATGGTGGTCTTGTTCTACCCAAAATAACAGCTTTCCTCCTCAGAAATTCTTAGTTACTTGTCCAATATGGACTGATTCAGCCACAGAAATGCCAATGAAGTTTCAGTGCAGTAAAGAAGTGCATCAGGGGATATCCTCAAGCTAAAATCTTTGGTAAGGAAACAGGTAGTAAAGGCAATTCAGTGATGTAATTTACACTCTGGTGAGTGAAATACAAACCACGAGGGTCTCTCCACAGCTCAGACATGCACCCAACAGGAGCATTCCTGTGTTGGCCTTAAGCAGACAGCTGATAGCCCCTGTTTTATGGGAGGGACTCTGTCTCACTGTTACTGTTTGTTCTGGTGACAGACTTCATACATATAAACCACATTAATGTACCAGGGCTCCTGTGGCATTTCGCATTTGTGCAACCAGGGAGCAGAAGTAAGGTCCATGCTCTAATCTTTGCTGCAACTCGAGCACACAAATTAGCAGGCATCCTCTTCACATGCCAGGTGAGGTGACAGGGCACTTCTTAGAAGCCACAGTCCTGATCCCTAGCTGTCACAACACCTGCAGCACCCTTCCTGGAGTGAGAGAATAAATATGAGCAATGAAATAGTGCAGGATGAAAAACACCATGGAAATCTTCCTGTTGTTTCTCCCAGGAGAACTGAAGGAAGACAGAACATTTGGATCTTCCCCATTCTCATTCCAAGGTTTGGTTGCCTTGGTGCATGAGCAGCCTTCGGACATCACTGTCCCATGACACAGCCGAAATAATGAATACTAAATGGGAAAATGCAGTATTCAAAGCTTTGAAAAATGTTCGTGTCAGGAGCTCACATCTAGGCACTGCATTTCAAACAAACTACCTCTGTAACAGAGGTTGGCCCCAAAAGTCTCCTGTGAAGTTTGTTTCCTCCCTAAAAGCAGCACAGGTTCAACTCCACTCTAAACTGCATATGAGATGTTGCAGCCTAGGAGATCTCTGGTGCTTATCAGCGTTCCCATCCTCTGAAACCACCACATTCCCTTCAGAAAAACTGCAAAGTTTGAACTTGGCTCCACGCTGAGCAAATGTCCCCAAAGTTCAGAACTCTTCCAAGCCAGCTTATTTCCTCTAGAACATCTTTAATGAAATACTTATTTATATTTTCCTTGAAGTAGAAATTCTGTATCTGATTTTATCTCTTTTTATTTATTTTAGTAGGAGATTTGGTTTTGCTTCCACAAGTGTGTCTTTGACCTGTAATAAAATCTGTACTGAAGTAATGGCTAATTCTGAACAAACAAGTAACAATTCCAGTAAATCCAAGGAAAGGTACATCCCTCTGACCTCTCTGTGCCCCTTTTCAGTAACAAATATGTATTTCGAGCAAAAGAACAAAGTTTCTTGTGCTATGGTTCTGCAGGGCCATAGCAGAGTGCTGCCTATAGCCACATAGTTGGAAGAAGGTTAATGAATTGCTAAAGCACATGTTTCCAGTGAATAATTCATATAGAAAGAAAATTTAGGTGGCCTAGCAGTTTATTAAATGAGATTATGATGGACTCTATGCCCTTTGGCAAGTGTCACCTCAAGATAAATTGATGTAACTCTTTACCTCTTAATGGAAAGTCCATTAGTAAAAGAAGGATTGTAATTTCTACTGATGCAAACCAGTGTCAGCTGTCATTTCTTTGGTATTAATATTTTCCCCTTTTTTCTTTTCTACCCCTTGATATTTTATATCTTCTCTTTGATTTTCTAGCAAAAACAACATTCATCCTCAGCCATGACTTTGGATACACGATTTCTAACACTTATTGCTGTATTATTGCTGGAGATTTTCTTCTTCAGCTCAGCTTCTGCGCAGTGTTTGCAGGGGCATTTCCATGGAGAGCAGCTCTTCCTTGTGCAGTGTCGCCCTGATTCTTGAGTTTTCTAAAGCCTTCTGAGTTTACATTCTATTGGGAAACTTTCCCACACAGTTTCTGTAAATAACATATTGTTTTGCATTCCTCCATGGGGGTGGAGAGACTTGATATACTAGTGCTTTGTCCAATGTCTTTGGAGAGGTGGCCCATTCACTCTCCAACCCACTGTCACCTTTGGAAAAGTATAAAAATTGGAGAAGCTGATTCCCTGCCAAGGTCTGAAGGTGGTCTTGCTGAAGAGGAGGGAAGTTCACCTGTCCAGGGAGGTTGTACCTCACTGGTGTGCATGGAGACCAGCTCCAGCACTGCTGCCCTTTACAGCCACCTGGACCTCCCACAACCATTTCAGTAATGCACTTTACACAGAGCATTTTGGCAAAGAAAGTGAGAGATTTTCTGCCTAAGCTTTGTTGTCTGTGCAGCTGATTTTTCAGGTGAGGTTTCTCCTTAGTGTTTGAAGGGATAAGGACATCTTTTGAAAGCTTCCCAGTACCAGCCTGCAATGGTGATACTGATGGCGGGGGGGAGGGGGAGGGGGATCTTAATAGTAGGAAAAAGAATCACCTCTCATTC